TAGCTTGTATGCATATTTTTCCTTTCTGCTACCTGTTCTTTGTCCACCAGTAGACATGCTTCTTATTTCGATGCATTTATTTTATTTTGCATTATTTCAATGCATGCGGCTGTGTTGATTTTGTTGCGGGTTTATTGCATATAAATAATCAATTTCATATATCAAGTATTTGCATCAAATAATGAGATTTTTAAAAAAAACTAATGAACTTACGACTATAAGAATATCAGAATTTTCTTAGTAGGTTACATAAAATTTAAATATTACACCTCAATCCTCAAACCTTATTTAATAATTATTAAATCAAATAAAAACATTCCAAGTAAAGAATAGTTCTAATGTATAGAGCAATAGTTATTTATATTCTTCTTCTCTTGGATTTTTTTTTACAAATACTGTCCTCAATATTATTAAGCCCTTGACTTTAATGAGTGCTTAACCACTTAAATATGGGTCTCTACTTCTTTTATGGTTTATCTTTCTCTTTCTTGTTCCCGATTTGTTTCCAGGCTAATCCAGAGATGTGCACTTGGTGCGATTTCGTATTTTACGGATTTACATGGCATGAAAAGAATAAATAATTATTAGGAAAAGTTACTTATATCTGAGAGGATATATACACACTTGGAACAAATAGAAAACTTACGAGGCGCCAGTCAAACAGTGGCTTTTTATTCTACCTTCCTCGCTTTTGCTTACCTACTGATTTCATCCATCTTTTAGTGCTTTAAGCTTAGTAGACAATTGAAGAATGGCTTATAGCATAGAGCTACCCCCGCTCGCCTACTGGTCCCTCTCTACTTTAATCTGCACTTCCTAGTATACTTAATTACCTGAAATTGCTATATCAGTGTCTACCAGATTGAGAGATCACAGTTACTTACCAGTCCCATCAGAGCTATCCAGAAATACCTGAAAAGTGACCTTTTGTGTCAGAACAAGTAAGATAAGTATTAGTTTTCGAAGAACCCTGCTGATGGTATGTAGTGAACCATTAAATAAATCAACTGGAGAAGTAACAATCCTAATCACGCTGTGCACAATTGATAAAACATATAAATGCCATAAGCAATGATGTAACCATCGTTAGTACGAACATTGCAATATTCCTTTGCCCCGTTAGGCTACAATTTGCAGTATTATTTGTTACCTTTTTGATAAATGTTAATTTCAAAACACTTATAGAGATTTTTACTAGCTCAGTGAAATTTAATATCAAACGTTACTTACCTTTAAAAATGAAAAAAAAATAAATGAGCACATCCTTTTCTCTGTCGTGAATTCGGCTTTTCAAATAGACAATTTTAAGGGTAGTAATCTTTCTAGGAAATGTTGGGCACCAATAATTCTCTTTTTTATTTTTAAAAGCTAGTGAGAATTATAAATTCTAGCTTTATCAATAAAAAGAAGTTAATAAAAATTATACAGAATTTAGTGAATGAAAGAGAATTCTTTGTGACCATTAAAAAATAAGATTCAAAATATATACTTATAAAAATCAACGATTTTATTTAAAAAAAGAAACCTTTTCTAAAACAAATTATTCACAGTTATCAGATATTATTAAAATTGTGATTCGTACATAAATAATTTTAGTCACTAGTAATTACCAATTGTTTTATTGCTAGTCACTTGTAGATAACCATACGTAGTTTTTGTCCCTCGGAAACCAACGCCATTGTCTGTTAATCTTCCTTCTATGAAGCTTTGAATTGTAGCTGTCGCCTTTCCAAATCAAACAACTTTTCACTAGAGATCTCTGCTCCTCGGGAACCAACGTTCAGATTACAGCGGTAGAATGGTTTTACGGCTTTATAACGTTCGGCTTATGACGTTATGGCTTATGGATTTATGTGGCTCATGGATTATGTTTTATTGCTTATGGATTATGGCTTATTGCTTATGGCTAATTCCATTCGCTTGCTAGACAAAAATAGATTTTGTTTTTCACGTGGTTCTGTACGATATATAAATTTGAAATATCTACTTTCTTTTTTTTTTTTTTTTAAATGAACCAATCAGATAATAAAAACTAGTGACTATACATATTGTGCCGTTCTAGCAACCAGAATGAATCATAAAAATATATTTAACTTTACTATTAAAAAACTAATAATTAACAAAAGGTTAGAATAATATTTCTACTGAGATATTTAATAAAGACATTATATACTTTCTGTGCTTATCACTTTATCAGCCCAAATGCACCACCGATTTAATTGAAAGGTAATAATGAAATGAAATTTACAAATCTGACTTGAGATCGCTTGGCTAGTGGCACTCCCACTTCAAGAAATTTCCCTTTCTTTAGAATATTTTGTGTTGGCGATAATTAAATTATACCGGATGGCACACATTTAAAATAACATTTTATAATTCGACTTTTAGAATGTTACAACATTAGTACATTGTAGCTTAGCTTATCATTAATATTTGACATTGTCCGAAAGCCTACAGATACTTCTATTTCATTCAACATATTATATAAAACCGATTGAACTCCTCTCAGCACAAATTTGTTTGTTTTATTTATACTTATGTAGATGGTTAATTTATATATAATTAAAGAACCTACATTGTTAACTCTCCCTGTCTGCAACTTAGGGGTTGAGAAGAAAAAGGGATGACAATTTTGGTAAGCACCTCTTTGTCTACGTCTTTATTGGGACTTGCTTTGAATTCTGCATCTACCTCTTGGACCAGGTAACCAACTTTACTTTTAGTTTTTTCCGGCCTCTGATGTTTTCGCAGCTATTTGGATTATCTATTATCTTAAATGTTATATGTTTGTGACAGCTAAGTATCTCTACTTGTAGGTCCCACCAATTAACCACATTTTACATTTAATGGGGTTGTTTTTGCTAAAACTGATGTCCATGTAGGATATGCTGTTTCCCCTTATGAATGTCGGCGTCTCATATGTGGGAAGACAAGAAGTGGAATTCGTATCGATACTCGATTTTGGCCAACTCATTGTAAGGTAGAGTTTCCCTGTTGAAAATTGTATACTTGTATGTTAAATTTAAAAAATGCATAAAATAAACACTTATTGTTTTATTGCACATTTAATATAGATGAGACCGATTCAAGAAAACGGTATTACTTGTATCTGTAACGTGTGGAGGGTGGGTTACACCCACGGCACTTAGGCCTCATGGTGCATCCTCCTAAGACGACAGGCATCTCCTAGCTCGTGAGCCAGTTTACAGATTTAATGTAGTTGACAACATCGCCAAGAGGTGCTTCTCTTATATCGGCCGGTGTTATCCGACACTCGCCGAACACAAATCTTCTAATAAATGAGAGCGTCAAGCAATCGTTAAGGATATGCTTGATCGACTCATCTTCTTGTTCGCACCCTCTGCAGAGTGCGGATTCTGACAACCCCATGATATGGAGATGCTTCCATAATTGGCAGTAACCAGTCAGAATGCCTGTGCCTAGGCGTAGATTCTGTCTAGTCATAGTCAAATATTTTTTTGCTGCAGTGTTGTCAGGTTAACTTAGGAGCTCCCTGGCAACTCTGCAGTTTCTTATTTCATCCCACCTTTTCTTGAATTTCATAAGGGAATGTTGTTTAATTAGGTAGGTCACTACCGATTTTGTAAGGTCAATAGAAGGGCCAGGTCTAAAAAATATTTGTTTAACTGCTTTCTTGGCTAGTGAATCAGCTAGACGGTTACTTTTGGATATGGCGTGACCTTTTATCCATCTTAAGGTGACCACATTGGTGATGGATACTTCGGCCAAAGCTTCGTGACATTCTAGTACCAACCCTAAATAAATTCGTGGTCTGTCCAGGGTGAGTATTGCTTGTCTACTATCTGTATAGATGAGCATGTTCCTTCCAGTAATATTGTTTCTGGTTATTTCTTTTGCTGCTATGAGAATCCCCGTTAGCTCTGTTTAAAATACACTAGCACTATTGCTCACAGTCCACTTTATGTTTAGGTTTAAGAATCTGGAGTATATTCCACATCCTAAGCCTTGTTTTGTTTTAGAACAGTCGGTGAAGATATGAATCGTACCTGCCACTTATGGCTCTTCTATTTGTTCTATTATAACTTTATATGGCTTATTGAGTCCATGTTTGCTTGAAGCAGTGGGAGCATATCAAGCGCCTCCTGACAAAAGCGACGTCTTGCCTCACAGCCTCACCAGATCCTACATCAGGTTCTATTCCAACCATGCAGAGGCGTGTCATTGTCATCAGAGCAACCTCCTTGATGTAAATATTAAGGGTAGTGAGACTAATTATATTTCCATGGCTCTGGTCGGTGTTGTTTTCATGGCTCCTGTTATGTTGAGACATGCTGTTCTTTGAATTTGTTCTAGTTTACGGATAGCTGTTAATTTTTGGGATTTAGAAACCCAGACAACTGTACTGCATGTTAGCATAGGTCTTATGATAGCCGTGTAAGTCCATGCGACGACTCTGGGAAAAAACAACAGAAGCGCCCCACGGTTCGGCGGCATTGTTCATATTTCTGTTTTCTAAATGCGAGTTCCACGTTAACTTGCTGTCAAAGTTGAGACCTAGGTACTTCACCTCTGATGCAAAGTTTAGTTTTGTGTTTAGGAGTTCTGGAGGTTTTAATTTCACTTTTATCCTTTTCCTTGTGAAATGGACCATTTCTGTCTTCTTAGAATTAATAGACAGTGAATAGTCCACTGTTCTATAATTTTAAGAGCTACTTGCATTCTTTCGAAAAGTATGTAACTGTATTAATAAAAGTAATTTTTTTTTTTAAATTCCTCCTTTTTTTTGTCACACCACTGGCCAAAGCCAGACTTACAGGAACGAAGTTCAGATAAAGCGTTCAAATCTAGTTTGCGCTGACTGTAAATGTGGTTGTAATTTTAATAATTTATTGATATCTTAATTTAAATTTTTATTATTAGCCTTGTTCCAACTATTGATAAAAGCCGGTATAATTATCTTATCTTATGAAAGCCATAGAGATAACATTTTTTAAACCAGTAACAATATTTAAGATAACCAGTGTATATTCAGACTTAGACATAATAGTAAGTTATAATAATATTGTGTATTTAATTGTGATAATTTCTAAGAGAAAATATGTCAAAATTCAGTGTTAATGATTACGATTGTATTGGTTTTGACCTAGACATGACACTAGCTAGATACAAGCTGACAAATTATAATGAACTGATTTATGACGCTCTTTCAAATTACCTAATAACTGAAAAAAACTACTCTAAAGAAATTTTATTAAGACCTATTGATGTTAACTTTACCATAAGAGGTTTAATAGCTGATACTGAAAATGGAAATTTAATAAGAATATCACCGGATGGTTTGATTCTTCAAGCTGCTCATGGTACTAAATGGTTAACAAATGAAGACATAATAAAATATTACCCTGACCATCATTGGAAATCAACCGATTTTTTTGTAAAAGCGCCAGCAGTAAATAGTGACAAAAAATTTAGGCTACTAGGTGACTTTTTAAATTTGCCAATAGCATTAATGTTTGCTAGAGCGGTAGATAGTATAGATATGGTGCAAGGTCCTCAAACAAACTATTCAGTTCTTCAAGATATCGCTTCAGGTATGAGATCAATTATATTTTCAAGAAACCTATGTACAAATGACCTTGGTGTTTTTCCTCAATTAAAGAAGAATTCTGAAAACATTTATCATAAATGCAGCCAGCGCATGTTAGACTGGTTGGAGGAATTAAAAAGTAAAGGAAAGAAACTATTTTTAATGACAGGTGCTGACGCTAGTCATGCTTTTTTGACAGCCGAGTGTACACTAGGAAAAAACTGGAAAAAATTATTCGATATTATCATTTGTTTCTCAGAGAAACCTGACTTCTTTACGATGGAGAGAAAATTTAAAGCACTAGATGGATTTAGGGAAACTGAAAATGTTGCTGCAGAAGACTTGAAACAAGGAGGAGTATATACATATGGAAATTGGAAAGATTTAAAACAGTTTTTGATTACTATATCTAGCAAAAGAAGCCCAAAAGTATTGTATATTGGCGATAATATTATTCAAGACGTGTACGCTCCTAACTTTTACTGTCAAATGGACACTGTTGCTATCTGTGAAGAATTAGAAGCAGAGAAAAGAGTTGGCTTTGCAGAAAGTGATCATCCTGATAAAGACTTTATTCGTTCAACAATATGGGGTTCATTTTTTCCTACTGAAAAAATTAATGAAACTTTTTGGTTTAACTTAATAAAAAAATATGCAAAAATATGTGTACCGAGTGTAGAATACTTAGCAAAATTTCCTGTTGATCATACATTTGATAAACAGTTTTAGTCATATTTCATACTTCTCGAAAATTCGTTCCATAAAATAAAAGTAAAAAAGAAGTAAAAACTATTTTTTTTATTCGAAAACATTTATCTACATAATTAGAACAAAATCAGTTGCATGGGTGAGATCAATAAATAGTCAATAACGGTTTTTTTCTTAATTTTTAAAATATAGATCCATGGAAATGACACAACCGTCCACAGATATGATTTAAATTTTAAAAGGGCCTTAAAATACTGTTGCTTTTAATTGTTTTAGTACAAACAGTCTTCGGTTTTAATAATTAGGTTAAAACATAGTTGAGAAAAGAGGATATTAAGAATTAAATCTTTTATTTATACATTTTTGACTATTATCCACTGAAGTAACAAAGTTATTTCATGAAAGTGATAATTAAGGAGTACAAAATTGCAAACAAAATTATTACGATATTTGCAAAAGTAACTAAAATTTTATTTTAATTAAAATGTTAGAACATTTTGTGAACATGTAAAGAAAATATTACTACTTAAAACTAATTTTTAACGTCAAAAATGTAATTTTCTTAAAATACATAGTGATCCTTGTTATTCACAATCGGCTGACTAAGAATCCTGAGAACATCGGTTTTATCTTTTTTTTGGATACACGAATTTGCTACCAGCCTCTTTTCAACGACATAGTCATTTACTTTTACACGTCTGGACGAGCAGGTGGGTAATACTTCATTGATTTTATTTTTCGACTCGTCACTGGAAGATGTATACAGGGTGGGCCACTTAAAAGTTCCACACCCCTTATTTTCGTTATTCATTGAGTTATCGGAATATTTTTGTTTGTTTGAAAGAGTGGAACAAATACTTTCTTATGCAGAATTTAATTATTCTGTGACGTCACGGCTTACTTCCGGTTTTTTCGGAATAACAGAAAATCGCAATTTATTTTTTATTTTTAAATTGAAACCCACCTTTTTTATTGTAAATTTGAATTTATGGAATATTTTTGTATAAAAATCGTGTATTGAAATTTTTCTGGCAGCTGTCAAAATGGCCGCCATATTGGATAATATTTATTTTAAATATGTTACTAATAATTCGTTTATGAAAGAAAATTAAGGAATGGAAAAACTTTGAGGGCTTCAAAATTCCTATGAAGACCCATTTGCCGTATACCAGTGGCGTATCTAAGCATTTTTATTATTAGCAAACCGTTTAATAATTCAATCCTCTTTTATCTTTGTTGGTTATTAAGATATCGGAATAAAAACTTTTTTGTTTAAAAGCTTATAATAGATAATTTCATATACTGAATCCAATTAGTATGTGACGTCATGGCTTACTTCTGATTTTTCAGGATAAAACTAAAAATCGCAATTTATTTTTTAATATAAAATCAAAACCCATCTTTTATTGAAAATTTGAATTTCTGGGATATTTTTGGATAAGAAGCGTATATTAAAAATTTTCTGTCAGCTGTCAAAATGGCCGCCATATTTGATAATATTTGTTCTAAACATGTTACTATTAAAAAAATATGGGAATGTATGATCTTTATAAAATCATTGTAAGCTTTAAAATTCCTATTGAGACTCACTTACAGTACACCAGTGGCGTATCTAAGTATTTTTATTATTAGCAAACCGTTTAATAATTCCACCCACTCTTATCTTCCTTATTAAATGAGATATACGAATGAAAACTTTTTTGTTTGAAAGCCTGGAATAAATACTGGTAAATACTTTATTCAGCTGGTCTGTTACGTCATGACTTTCTTCAGGTTTTTCGAAAGTAACAGTAAATCGCAATTTATTTTTTATTTTTAAATGAAAACCCACTTGTTTATTGAACATTTTAATTTCTTGATCGTATCAATGTTAAGTTATTATTGTATGATAAATCTTGTATTATTATATTAATTATTTAAAGCTTTCTGATAAAATGAAGCTCTCTACTTAAAAATTTAAGGTAGTTCACTCGCGACAGTCGTACATAAAAATATCGCTTAATGGTGAATACCAATAGTTCGAGATGCTCAATTCTAATCAATTAAATTTTTGTAAGAGACTGTACAAAACAGATGTAAGCTTATATACAGGGTGTCCCAAATTGTTTTACCCATGCTATAACTTCTAAACCATGCAAGATAATCGAACCGGACAAAAGTCATCCGTTATAATTGACAGTGTACTTTGAAACAAATAAAAATTTGATGACCCACCCTCAAAAACTACCCCCCTGAAACAACCCCCTCAAAAATTATTAACGACACCCTAATTTATTTTCGGCTCATATTTTAGTCGCTACTTTTTTCTGTTCAACTGTTTTTAAAATTTTAAAATCACTCCATAAATAAGTGAGATTCGTTTTTTTTTATTTTCATCAAGTTACTTGCTGTCAAATTCATGGTAAGTTTTCTAGCGAAAACAATACAATATCAATCTGTCTTTTGTCAAAGAAAAGTAGCCTAAATACTAGATAAAATTAGCAGTTTTTACTTGATAAAGTTTGCAATAATTTAGATTTTTTCAAGTCTTAATAAATTATTTCAAAATGTCAACTGTGTTTACTTCCAACGAGTACAACGATATGATATGGCGAATGTCGTAAGAATTCAAGACAAGCTAGACAATTATACTATGAATGTTTTCCGAATAGAACAATTCCCTCAGTTAAAACGTTTTCTAATTTAGAAAAAAGTCTTAGACAAGGACATTTTCCTGACTGTAAAAATCATGGAGGACACAACAGAATTATCAGAAATGAAGAAAATATTGTACAAGTTTTGGCTTACGTTCATGTAAATCCATATGTTTCTATCAGAGATTTGGCACTCGAAATTGGAAGAAGTAAAAGTAGCATCCAAAAAATATTAAAAGACAATAAATATCATCCTTATAAAATATGGTCCAAGGTTTACATTCTAATGATCTTGAAAGACGCTTAGACTTTCTCGCTAGAATGCAGGTGAAACTAAATAACGATGCCACATTCTTAGATAAAATATTATGGAGCGACGAATCACGTTTGCATAATAATGGTATATTAAATCGTCATAATTCCAATTACTGGTCCCCAACAAATCCCCACTGGGTAATAGAAACAAGGTTTCAAAATATTTGGGGCACAAATGTATGGTGTAGTTTGTTCAATAGTAGGATTATAGGTCCTAAGTTTTATGAAAACACTCTAACGGGAATAGGATATCGTAATTTTTTATCAATACCGTTCTTGATTTGTTGAAAGGTGTTCTTCTTAATCAAAGACGTGATATGTGGTGGCAGCAGGATGGTGCACCAGCTCATAAGGCACAAATTGTGAGCCGATATTTGGCAAACACTTATGGAAACCCTGTTGTATCCACGCATTCTCCAATTATCCAGTGACCGGCTAGGTCACCTGATTTGTCGCCTCTAGATTTTTTTGGGATACTATAAAGGATGTAGTATACGAAACAAAACCAGAGGACTTAAAAGATTTAAAAAATAGAATCAGATATGCTTATAATAGATTTACACCGCTCATGATTCGAGCTGCCTATACTAAAAATTTATTGTTAAGGTTTGACAAATGTGTGGAAGTGGTAGGTGGGCAATTTGAGCACTTATAAGTTATTATTACTCTTTGTTTGTTGATATTTATTTCTTGTCTTCTCCTTCTCTTGTTTCAATGTATTCCTATAATTTAATTTAATTTAATAAAGTATTTTTTATCAACTTGACATACACTTTTATTTATAGAGTGATTTCAAAATTATAAAAATAATTGTACAGAGAAAAATGAGCAGAAAAAAGTTTTGGTGTCGTTAATAATTTTTGAGGGGGTTGTTCCAGGGGGTAGTTTTTAAGGGTGTGTCTTAACATTTTTATTTGTTTCAAAGTACACCGCCAATTATAATGGATGACTTTTGTCCGGTTCGATTATCTTGCATGGTTTAGAAGTTATAGCCTGTGTAAAATAATTTGGGACAATTTGGGACACCCTGTATATGGATTTTAATAAAATCCATCGGGCAAGCTCATAAATTTATGAATGGTTTGCTATAGAAATTTGTGACTTCCTTATATTAATTTTAAGGGTTTGTTTTGGTTTAAACAGAACTGCTGATTCCAGTTCTCAAATACAGTGGACGACTTAATTTTTCAAGAAAACGTCGCGAGGTTATAACATCCTCTTATCTGATCGAGTGTTATTTTGGTATAACGCATTGATTGTAGCGTATACAACGTTGCCAAGTTGTAATAATTTTACGCAACTAGGCGTCGAATGCTTTAAAAATATTTTTATTTTAAAAATCTATATCTTTTTACTAAGACGGTCAAAAAATTCAGCGTTTCTTTAGAAAATTTTATAACTTCTTGATTTACATTACATTAGTTTTTAAAAAATATGTTAAAAACCGTTTTCGAGATCTTGAAATAAATGCGTTACTTGTGTACATGAGAGGCTTCAAGAGTGTTAATTATGCACATTTTGATTGTTAATATTTCGTTTCACAGACGGTCAAAATTTTTTATTTTTTTTTTAGTTACATAAAAGACACTTTCATTAACATTATATTTCAATTTTATTGAATTCTTAAGAAAAGCCGTTTTACGAGTGAACTACCTTAAAATAAAAATAAACATTTTTTTTTAAATTTAAAGATCTGTTGCGTGTCATAATAATTTATTTTTGTACTACTGTGCATAAAGTACGCACGTTACGCACACCACGAAGTGCATAAAGTTTTACTTTTTTCACTAGTGCATAAAGTAAAATTTTTTAAGCACTAGTGCGCAAACAAGACAATTTTTAGTATTTTGACATGACAAATGACATATTTTATTTTAAAGTTTCTTTACGCGCTAATGCGTAAAGTAAAACAGCTTATGCACTAATGAGTAGAGTGAAAATGCTTTGATAAGCTACTGGTGTACTGTAACTGGGTCTCAATAGGAATTTTGAAGCTAACAATGATTTTATAAATATCATATACTCGCATTTTTTTTCTATAAATGAATTAAAAGTAACATGTTTAGAAAAAATATTATCCAATATGGCAGTCATTTTGACAGCTTACAGAAATA